ACAGCAGAATGGGGTTGCTGAGCGCCGCATTGGCCTGGTCATGGAGGTCGCTCGTACCTCCTTGGTCCATGCGGCGGCTCCCCATTTTCTGTGGCCGTTTGCTGTCCGGTATGCCGCGCATCAGCTCAACCTCTGGCCCCGTGTCTCCCTGCCGGAGACCTCGCCCACACTGCGTTGGACGGGGGAGGTTGGCGATGCGTCGCGCTTCCGGGTGTGGGGTGCTCGTGCCCTTGTCCGCGATACGTCCGCGGACAAGCTCTCCTCCCGCACGCTTCCCTGTGTCTTCCTTGGCTTTGTCCCTGACGCGCCTGGCTGGCAGTTTTACCACCCCACCTCGCGCCGGGTCTTCGCCTCTCAGGACGTCACCTTTGACGAGTCGGTCCCTTTTTACCGTCTCTTCCCCTACCGCACTGCCCCCCTCGCTCCTGGTCCCCCTCCAGTAGACCCCCTTCCCCCTCAGGGTCCTGCTCCTTCAGGTGTCTCTCAGGTAGACCCTCCTCCCGTCGCTGAGCCTGTCGAGGTCACAGGTGACTCAGGTGCTGCTGCAGGTGGTGCTGCTGGGAGTGCTGAGCCTGGGGGTGCTGAGCCTGCGGGTGCTGGGCCTGGGGGTGCTGCGGCTGCGGGTGCTGGGACTGAGGGTGCTGGAGCTGAGGGTACTGTGCCTGAGAGTTCGGAGCCTGGGGGTGCTGAGCCTGGGGGTGCTGCGACTGGGGGTGCTGAGCCTGCGTGTACGGAGTCTGGGGGTGCTGAGCCTGGGGGTGCTGCGCCTGGGGGCACTGAGCCTGGGGGTACTGCGACTGAGCCTACGGAGCCTGGGGTTGCTGCGTCTGGGGGTGCTCCGGTTCGGGGTGCTCCGGTTCGGGGTGCTGAGCAGTCTCTCACACCGCAGCAGCTTCGTGACTGGTACGTCCGGCGCTTTCGCCGTCCTCGTGGCCCTGCTGGAGTTGGAGGTTCTGGAGCTGCTCGTCCTGGAGGTGCTCGTACTGGAGGTACTGGAGCTGCCGGGACTGGCTGTTCTGGGAGCACTGAGGCTGGAGCTGCTGGAGCTGACGACACTGGAGCTGACGGTTCTGGACACGGTGGTCCTGCTGGTTCTGGAGGTGCTGGCGAGGGGAGGTCTGACGCTGCTGGGGCCTCTGGTGCTGACGTCGTCGACTCTGGGGGTGCTGCGGCGGAGGGTGCTGGTCCTGGTGCTTCTGGTGCTGCGGGTGCTGGAGGTGCTGGCGGAGCTCCGCCGTCGCGCCTGTTCTTCGCTCCTCCGTCACCGTCGGCTTTGCCACCGCCTGACACGGTGCTTCGCCAGGTTCTTTCCCTCCCGTCTTCCACTGGCCTTCCCCTCCAGCCTGGCTCCCCCCTCCCTGCTCCTGTACCTTACACTGCACTGCCGGACTCGCTTACGGAGCGTCGTGAGCCTGTGTCTCGTCCTGCCTCGCCTGTTCGTGCTACTCGCACTGCTCGCACTGCGCGCACTGGTCCCACTGGTCGTCGTGTCGCGCGTCCGCGTCCTCCTCCTGTTCCTGGCACGCATATTATGGCCCTTCGTCCTTCCACTGGTCCACAGCGTGTCCCCCTACCGTCTCCTCCTGCGTCTTCTCTTCCTGAGGTTCCCGACCCTGAGTCTGACAGTGTTCGTGCTGCCCACCCTACTGTTACGCGTCTTCTCGCCACTGTTGTCACTGACCCGTCGTTTGAGTCTTCTGCTGCGTCTGCCCTGGTCGCTGAGCTTTTCGAACTTTGCTGCTGCCTGTCGTCTAGACTACGCCGCCAGTCTTGTTGCCGGGTCTGAGTCTGTCTGTCCTCCGTCCGTCGGGGGTGAGTGTGCTCTTGGCACGGACGTCCTTGAGGACAGGCAGGAGGACTTTAACTCTCTTGCGGCTGCTGTACCTCATCTCGTGGCCTGGTTGCTTGCCCCTGAGGGAGACCCGGATGCACTAGACATCCCCACTCCGCGCTCTTACGCAGAGGCGATCTCGGGTCCCTACTCCTCTCAGTGGCAGACAGCCATGGACGCAGAGATGGCATCCTGGAAGTCCACAGGCACCTACGTCGACGAGGTTCCCCCTCCTGGGGCGAACATCGTCGATGGCATGTGGATTTTCAGGGTGAAGCGGCCGCCAGGTTCTCCGCCTGTCTTCAAGGCTCGTTACGTTGCTAGAGGCTTCAGTCAGCGTCAGGGGGTTGACTTCTTTCAGACCTTCTCCCCCACCCCGAAGATGACCACTCTTCGGGTTCTGCTGCACGTTGCTGCTCAGCGTGACTACGAGCTTCACTCTCTTGACTTCAGCACAGCGTTCTTGCAGGGCAGCCTGCACGAGGAGATCTGGCTGCGCCGCCCACGTGGCTTCACTGGGTTGTTTCCTCCTGGTACCCAGTGGAGCCTCCGGCGGCCAGTCTACGGTCTCCGCCAGGCACCGCGCGAGTGGCACGACACACTGAGGACTACACTTGCAGCTCTTGGGTTTGCTCCTTCCACTGCTGACCCGTCACTGTTCCTGCGCACAGACACGTCGCTGCCGCCGTTCTACATCCTCGTGTACGTCGACGACTTGGTTTTTGCTACTGCTGACACTGAGGCACTCGCTCGTGTGAAGTCGGAGCTACAGAAGAGACACACCTGCACTGACCTGGGTGAGCTGCGTAGCTACCTTGGCTTGCAGATCACCCGGGACAGAGCACGCCGCACCATCACCCTGACTCAGTCACACATGGTGCAGCAGGTACTTCAGCGCTTCGGCTTCCAGTTCTCCTCACCACAGGCCACACCTCTGGCTACCAGCCACTCGCTCTCAGCTCCACCTTCGTACGAGTCCGTAGAGCCGAGTGGCCCGTACCCAGAGCTTGTAGGCTGCCTCATGTACCTGATGACTTGCACGCGACCTGACCTCGCGTACCCTCTTAGCATCCTTGCTCGTTACGTTGCGCCTGGGAGACACAGGCGAGAGCACTGGGAGGCTGCTAAGAGGGTGCTGCGTTACTTGTGCAGTACATCAGGCATGGGGCTGGTGCTTGGAGGACGCGACAGAGTTGTCCTCACTGGTCACTCGGACGCTTCTTGGGTGGACGACCTGGCTACGCAGCGGTCGTCACAGGGTTACACCTTCAGCCTTGGCTCTGGTTCTGTCTCGTGGCGGTCCACCCGCTCTTCTTCTGTTCTCGGCTCTAGTTGTGAGGCTGAGATCTACGCCACGGCCATGGCTGCACAGGAGTTACGCTGGCTCACCTACCTGCTGACTGACTTGGGAGAGCGGCCTAGTTCTCCTCCAGTTCTGTACGGTGACAACAAGGCGGCCCTTGCCTTGTGTCAGGAGCACAGACTGGAGCACAGGACGAAGCACATTGCTCTTCGCTACTTTCTTGCTCGAGAGCTTCAGCAGCGCGGTCAGCTTCGGCTTGTGTACGTGGACTCGAAGGCCAACACTGCTGATGTCTTCACCAAGGCGCTCCCGCCTAGTGATCATCAGCGACACTGTACTTCTTTAGGCCTTGTGTCCACGTTTCCTCATTTGCTTACTGCTTGACTTTCTTTGTACTGTACTTTATATATATCTTGCTGCTTGTCCTGTTCTATATCTAGCACTGCATGTGAACTGGCCTTGTGGCCTTTGCTTGTGCTCGGAGTGTGGTGACGTTGTGATCCACCCTGGGCTTGTTTTGCTTTGCTGGACTGGTCTTGTGACCCTTTGCTCTCCCCCACTTTGCCTATGAGGGTGTGTTAAGTTGTACTGTGTTATATATATGTGGGTAGGCTGTAGTGGGGTAGCCAATACAGGGTACAAACCCAACTAGGGTTAGCTACTTGTACCCAACTGTTCTTTCAATGCATCATTCTTACGCTAGTATTCTGAGAGCAGAGACACATCACTCTCATCAGTTTTAATAAACGGTTCACGAGAGCATGTCAAGGAACGACTGTAGTTCTTCTATGTAAGCTTACCTGCTGCTGTCAGTCGCTCTTGGCCTTCGTCTTCAAACCACTTCTGGTACTGCTGGCGGACGGAGGCCTTGAACGACTTGTTGATAGAGACGTCCAGCGGCTGAATCTCCGCCGTACAGCCTGCCGGGATCACCGCCGGCACGATGTTGAGCTCGGCGAACTTGTCCTTGACCCCTTGGGTGAGGTGACCGCGGTAGGAGTCGAGGACCACCATCGCGCTCCTCGCCTGCCTGCCGAATCGAGGCCTAAGAAACGGTTGGACGCACTCCTCCAGCCATCGGATGACGCCTTCGGCGTCCATCCACCCGTTCTCGTGGCAGGCGACGACGACATCTGCACAATGATACACAGGCAGGGTGGTTAGCGACGATTTAGTAAAGCAACGAATCACCCTGCCTGAACCCGCAGAGGAGGGTTCATGGCACCAGACGTGCTGTGCTGGCAGGGCATATTCCACACCCTTCGAGAGGGTTCGGATGAGTTGTCCTGCCTGGCCGCGCATGACAACCCGATTGGGCCGCACGACAGCTTTTGTGTCAGCGCTGGCAGGTGCGCTGCACTGGGACGTGAAGTGTGCGGTGGGGAATCGAATCGCGGCGAATAGCGCGAGGATTCCATGCATGACCCCACGTGAACGGCACATCGTTGTGTTCGCCTTATTGCAAGCTTCATTTTGGTACCCTTACAAACAAATTTCATTTTTGCCATTATAAAGGCGCCGGCGCTTATGGCCGTTACTCGATTATAAGCGCACCAAAAAAAAATCAAGATTTTATTATAAGCGCATCTGCGCTACTATCCGGGGTATGACGGTAATTCACAGCTGATATTTGCAGGAACGGTGGAAGTTGACATGTTATCGTGCTGAAAATATGGCTGCAGGGTGAGGCGCGCGCAAGCACGCAAGCTATTTTGAAGCTCAAGGCTCACTATTGTTGTAATGTGGTTTCACCGCATGTCAAACTTTTATTTCATAATTTCCGAACATTTGGAAGCGTAGTCTAGCGCACATAAGCATCGAAAAGCTACACTACCTAACGGAACGCTTGGCGCATACTAGTTGGGTTTATGAACTGCCAGCCGCAACCCTGAAGACGACGCAGCGGTGAGTCTGAAAAGCAAACGGAACGCGTTAGCATCAGACCCCAGATCATGGGCAGAAACGAAGCTAGCTCGTGAACAGTAAGAACACATACACCGTGGAAAGAACAATGAGGAGACGGACGCAGGAGACGTCAGCATAACGCACCTGAGGGTAGCCTGGCTTGTTGTCGTTAGGGTTCAGCCACTCGGACGCGTTAACGCCCTTGCCGAGCTTAATCCTCGCGGTTTCGATGTAGAGCTTGATGCACTTGCCGTTGAGCTCGTCGATCTTGGCCTGGGGCATAGGCCGGATGCCCAGGCGGTCATTGCGGTTCACAAATTTGGTGTACGCGTCACTGGCTCCGCGAGCGCGGAAAAAGAAGTAGTTATCGCAAGAACCGCCCTGAATGGAAGGAATTAAGAAAGCGTGTGAAACAACTTTGGCCGAGAGTAAGGGAAAGAGTGCGGCAGGTGAATACTTCCAAAAGCGTGCACTCTTTGAAAAAAATTTAAAGCGTTCAAGGTCGCATCCTTACCCCTATGACTTTGCAAGAGGCTCCCGAGGTGGTTGCTGTCTGCACAGGCTTGTCAGACCTGTAAGAGTATAGACGCAAGGGGGAGAGAGGTAGCGGTAAGGAGAAACTAAAGTGGTAGCCAAGGGCCAGCGGATGCTATGCTCGTGCATTCGTAACGTCAATGGTGAAGAAACGGGTATCAGGTTTTGGCAGTAGCATGTCGAGCACTAGCGTGACTCACTTGTGGCGGAGAGCAGTGGAAGCGACCTTCTCGGCGGCGACGGCATTGATAGTAATCACCGGCGTTTCTTCCTTGAAGTTGTAGAAATAAAAGTCACACACCTGCAGCAAGGAACGCCGAGACAGAAGGGAAGGAAGTAAGAATGTCAATACATCACCCGCTGGGTTTGTTCACCCGCTCGACGGGAAGACATCGGAGAAGCTGCCTCTTGTCAGGGAAGAAAGTGACATGCTTTCGAATGTATTCACCACTACCAGGATCCCATGCAGGGTACGTGGCTAGAATAGACTGTTGCAATGCAGCATTGAAGGTGAGTGCGCCTGGCATATGATGGGGAGATGTGACTATCACTAACCGCAAGTGGGGCGATGCAGGGATCATATTTCTTGGGCTTTGGCTTAGGCGCTGCTTGGACGCTGATAGCCACCAAGCCTGGAGGTATTCGTGAGGGAAATCAGGCAACAAGACACGAGCGATGAGAGCTTGAACGTATGGGACAAGTTTTCGCTGAACAAGAGAATTCCATTGCTCAGTCAACTCACCTATAATTGCGGCGACGAGAAGGAGACGGCGGGCCATGGCTTTAGGTTGATCAATCAATAACGGGCAAGAAGTAAACTTGTTTCAGCACTAGCAGCACTGAAGACCAATGAAGGTGAACTGGTATGCAGCTCAGCAAAATATACGAACTCCGAAGTTGTGGAAGCAACCACAATTGTTGCCTAGATTCATGCGCGCGGTTTGAACCAACAAATTGGCACGAATAGCGACATTGACGGATTTGCTTTCTTGAACTCTCTGCGACTTGGCAAAAAGCAGCTCTGGTCTGGTGGTGCCTGTTGTGTGTTGTACAGGTGAGCTCTGGAACTTGACGTTAGTGGTGTCGAACTTGGTTCGGAAGGTGCCTTGAGCGGCTTGGGAGTCATGACATGGGCGAACATGTTGCCCAGTTTTGTCGCGTGGGTGGTTCGGCAATTTCGAGCCTGGAAATGCAGCGGCGCAAAGTACGCAAGCCAATAACTGCAAGTCCCTGCCGGTATGGAACAGTCGTCGCACAAATGAGCTTGGTTGTGCCTACCGCAGCACAGAGATGAACCCATCGTGACAACCGAAATTGTAAAGCAACCATGGATGGATATAGGGGTGCTTCGGTCATGGTACAATGCTTCTATTCACACGACCATACCTCAGACAGTTTTGTGATCATCAGTTACGCTAACTTCAGGAGGGAAACCTACAATCACCAGACCAGAAAGAACGCTCTTGCTTAACCCTAGCATACTTCCACTGAGGTAGACAACCAACCATGCACATGCCCGTGTGCGCACTCCATACACCTACACACCAACATATTGCCTATCCCTAAAAAAAAAACTCCTTCCCTAGTGCTCATCCTTTCTGATTACACAATGAGAATAACCTGAACTCATTCCTGCTCCATGCCTCCCTCTTCCCGCCTTCTGTGAATCCTCGTGCCCCCAGATCCATCCCATTCCCAAACTCGCCCCAAACCCACCGCCCACGCTACCACTCCCTTCACCACCTTCCACTTGCCAGCCTCGATCATAACCACCGGAAGCAGCAGCAAGACGAGCAGCAGGAGGAGGAGGAGAACGAAGAGAGGCAGCACCAGCAGAAGCAGCAGACCCAAGCAAGTGGCCGATCCCGCCACCACTTTGCAACTGATTCACTGCACCAAGACGAGATTCATCTGCTGCATAGTGGCTCCTGGCACACTCCCAACCGCCAGGGCCAGAATAGCTGTTGGATGCCGATTGGCGAGAAGACATAGCAGAGACAAACGCCCTGGAGTTGAAGCTACTGAATCCAGGTACACGGCTGCTGTAAGTGTTGGCATTCTGTGGCTGCGCGCTTTGATGCCAAGTCCCGTCACGCTTGGCAGAATTGTGGCTGGAAGGAATGGGCACGGCGGATGACACACCGTGTGCTGCAGCTGCTGCTGCAGCTGCTGGTGCGGCTGGTGCGAGTTGTGAGGCTGGTGCAATTGGAGCAGCTGATTGATGTGAGGATGGCAATAGGATTGATAGTCCTGCTGGAGGTGCGGCATACATGGCATGATTGCTCCATGCAGCTGAACCTGGGATTCCTCTAATTCCTCTTGATGGTTCTGACCCGCCATTGAAATGCACCCGAGTGGTCCATTGAGCAGCAGCAGCCCCTACTCTTTCCCCGTGCACCTCACAGCACCGCGCACCACCGCATCGGGCGCCACCACACCGCTCCCTTACGCGTGCACACGGCCCCTCTGGGAGACCAGCACTGTCCAGTGCAAGAGCAGGGGAACGCTGCATGGATGCAATGAGTGCTGATGTTTGTTGCTCAACACGATCAGTGGAAGCAGCAGGGGCAGGGAGGAGGCGGGCAGTGCGCGGGTGCGCTGTGCCTAGCGCTCGCTGCATGCTCTTCAGCACAGCCGCTGCAATCTCATCACTGGTGTCGGCCTCATGGGCGATTGAGCCCCCACGGGAAGAGGAGGACGCGACTGGTGTGCAGGTGGAGGGTGCGATGACTGAGGGAGGGGTGGGTGATCGGTTGCGGTGTGATGGGGCTTGACTGGAGATGTGATTCTGGGAGGTGTGACTGTAAGTCGTGTGATTGTACGGCTGGTGCTGGGAGGAGGCGGCAGGGTGACTGTGGGAAGATGCGCCAAGGAAAGGGCTTGGGTAACGGCGGGCAGTTGGAGGAGGGAGAGGGGGAGGAGGAGAGGAAGGAGACGGAGAAGGCAAAGGAGCACCGAATAGTGGAGTTGATGGGGTGGTGGTGTTGGGATGTTGTATGGGCATGAAGTGCGGCGGAGACAACAATAAAGCAGGAGCTTCTGTTATTCCAGATAGGTTACCACCACCAGTGCAAGCACTGTTGTTACTGCATGTTGAAAGTTTATTTTGTGCGGGAAAAGCACTGCCACTGCCGCTGCTGCTATGGCCGCTACTGCTGCTGCTACTGTTGCTTCTGCTGTTGGTTCTGCTCCTGCTTCTGCCGCTGCCCGTGCTGCCGTTGCTGCTGCTGCTACTGCTGTTGTTTCGTCTGTGCATGCGTCTCCTCGCTCTCCCATCGTCCGTGCTGTCAGAACCCTGGGCGACAGGGCTGGTGAGCCCAGGGAGAGCAGTGCTAAGGGACTGGAAGGTGAACACTGAGGCAGAAGAACCAGGCGCTGCCGAGACAAAGGAGATCTGCTGCTGCTGCTGCTGGGGGTGGAGGTGGTGCTGCTGCTGCTTCTGGTGATGGTGGTGCTGATGCTGCTGCTGATGCTGCTGATGCTGCTGATGCTGCTGATGCTCCTGCGGTTGCTGGTGGTGCTGGTGGTGCTGGTGGTGCTGCTGCTGGCGCTGTTGCGGCTGCTGTGAGTTATGCGGGTCGTGAACATATAGCTCCGCCCAAATGCTCTCTGACAACAAATCATCGTCACTACCATCACCGTCATCATCATCATCAGCATCCCCAGGCTCGGAAGGTAAATCTTCAGGCGGCATAGCTGCACTGCCGCAAGTGATAGCATGAACAACAGCAGGGGCTGCAAGAGGAAGTGCTGGAGCAGGAGGCAGAGAATGATCCGTGAAGGCAGACGCAGTGACTGCAGCTGCAGCTGCAGCGGCAACGGCTGCAGCAGTGACGGTTGAGAGTGCTGTAGCGGTGGCATCAGCAGCAGCTGCTGCCGCCACAGCAGCAGCGGCAGCAGCACTAGCACCGGCACCGGCAGCAGCAGCGGCGGAAGAAGGGAGATGTGGGGCAGGAGGAGGAGTAGCTGCAGGAGGAGGAGTAGCTGCAGGAGCAGGAGCACATTGGAACGGCAGCAGTGACGCTTTGAAGTGGTTGCCAGGCTCACGGTGCACGAGAGTCCCTCGGGATGGGAAGGCAGGTGGCTCCGGGATTGCGTGCCGCTTGAGAGGAGGAGGTGGCGGGCGATGGGGCTGGAAGTTGAATGGATTGACTGCTGTGAGGGCACTGCATTCCTTCTTCACTACCTCCATTCCTTCCGAGTTCTTGCAAAAAGAGCTGCCCACGCGGCTCACGCTAACATGGTGAACGGGACCCACCTCCATCCGCCCCATCCGCCCCAAACCCACTCCTCCTCCTGAATCCCCTCCTTTCCGGAAACTTCTGCTTCTGCACACTCTGTCTTCCACCTCTCCCACCTCCTCCTGCTCCTGTTCCCCACCATCCTCCTCTCTCTCTCCTTCGCCCCCCTCCTTCCCTTCTCCGTGCTCCTCGCCCCCATCTCGCCTACCAGCTCCACCACTCACCACCACCCCTAACCCTTCACCCTCCCCCTCCCCCTCCCCCATCCTTTCCCCTTCCCTTTCCCCTTCCCCTCCTCCTCCCCCTCGCCTTTCTCCTTCCGCTCCGCCTCCCCCCTCGCCTCCCATGCAGGCCACTCGCTCCTCTAACCGCTCCACATGCTCAGTGGAAGCGTCTAGGGCCTCTCGCAAGATCCCCACCTCGTTACTCAGCGACCGCTTCTCCCGCTCCGCCTTCTCCGCTGCCTGCCGCAGCGCCGCGATCGACTGCTGCTGCTGCTCGATGAGGGACAAGAGCGACGCGTTCTCCAACAGCAGCAGCTCCGCGTTTCCCGCCTGAACTGGCGCTTGTACCGCTGCGCCTCCTGCTGCTGCTAATGCTGCTGATGCTGCTGATGCCTGTGCGGCAGGATTTGCCGCCGCAGCAGCAGCACCAGCCCCAACAGCAGCAAATGCTCTAACTCTCTCACCCTCCATCCCCACTCCCTCAAACCTTTCCATCTCCGCTGCTTCCGACCTCCCCGTCCCGCACAGTTCGCCTTCCCCGCGGCCAGTTCCGCCCTCCGCCTCCCCCTCCAACTCGTTCCCCCCCGCAGAGTGCGCGCACACAGCCAGCCCCTCCGCTCCGCTGAAAAGCTCACCCCCGATCCTGGAGGTTAGCTCGCCAGGAAACCCTTCCCCCTCGCTAAAAGCACAATGCTTCCCATGACTCCAAGGAGAAGCCATAGTCTTCAATGTCAGAACAAAACCAGCCTCGTGCGTGACCACTCTTCAATGTACAAAAGGAGACAGCTCCCTTCTGCCGGTCATGGCACGCGTGGTTGCGGTTGTTGGAACCAGCCGAGCCGCGCAGCAGCTCCGGTCCGGTCTGAGGAATAGAGGGCTGGAATGACGAGTAGAGGAATCGGCCTTGTGCATTACTCCCAGCGCGAGTGCGCGTTTTGTACAAAATCGCACTTCACATCGGACGGCGAACACGGATACACAACAAACACTCTAAACTCCAACTGACGCGGCTCGCCGGCTTTTGCCCCATGAAACGCATGGTTAGATGGCACTGGAAGTTGGTTCTTGGTGTGGCATTCGTCCTGGCCTCAAGTTTTTGTCCAGGAACCGGTTACAAGAAACATCGAGCTCGCGAACTTAATGCGCTTAAACATTTCGCTGGCGCTGCGAAACCAGAGCCGGAACCGCCACGTGGCACTAGCATAAGTCTGGAATTATTATCTCGGAAAGGTCGACATGCAATGGCGGACTGGTTCTGGTGGGGTGAAGCCCGCGGTAAGGAAATTGGCGAGGGAGGGAGGGGAGGCGGCGAGGGATGAATGGATGAAGGTTGTGTGGTGTGTGTCGGGGAACCCCACGGTGGGCCACATTCCCCTGACATGGCAAATGCTGATTGGAGATCATTCATTCGCATGGGCCCACATACATAGCGGATACCACTTTACATACAGAAACTAAAAGCCAATATCTTTTGTAACTACATGCATAGTCCAAGTTCAATTATCCACTTTAGCCTTAGCTGCATCCGATTTAAGGAAGAGACTTCTTGGATTGCTTTTTGATGGTTGCAGTTCTGATACTAACAACCTTACAGATTTACAAATAACAAATATGATCGTGAATAAGAGCATGAACCATACCCAATACATGGTTTCATTCTATAACCAAGACATGAATCAGGCTTGGGCAAAAGCAGACATCTTGGGAGGAGGTACGGGGTCGCCCGATCGACTGGCAAAGGGCGATAAGCGTGTGTGACTCAGAAGCTATTCCGAACCGGGCGCGATACGTGCTGCTTCGGATTCACAGCAGAAACCTGCAAGTGGGGGAGAGGCTGCATTTTCTTGGGGCGGCGGTCGCCTGCGCGCACTGTGGGGAGAGAGAAACGTTGGAACATGCACTCTTCCATTGTCCGCGCGTACAGCCGGTGGTTCGGGCGCTCCTGATAGCAATTCGCATGCTCAATCCGAGGAGGAAGGTGGAGTCGTTGGGGGACCTCCTGTTCCAAAAGGGGGGGTCAGGCTCGGGTTTTTCTGAGGCTACCATCACGTCAATCGCTCTGCATAGAATTTGGGTGGAAAGATGTGATGTGGTTTTCGAGAGGAGCAAATTTCGGGCGAGGAGGGTCCTGCGGAGAATCGCGGCGGCTTTCCAGCTGCATGTCAAGATCTACACTCGTGCCAAGGCAGCAAAGCGGAGGCTTGGTGCTAACCGTGCCAACCTGGACGGGGATGAGCGCCGAGCCATGGACAGAATCTGGGACACGCCAGTGAAGCCGGCCAAATGGACGAAGGGTTTCATGTCCTTGTGGTCGAATCCGAAGGCTGCTTTCCGTCCTCCTTAGAAGGTCAGGGTGGGTACGGAAGGCACATGCCTCCTAGGCCCACCAGCTACAGTTACGACTGTCGATGTATTGTGCACTTATTGTGTATCTTTCATAAAAAAAAAGGCTTGGACAAAAGCATATGGGCTCTGATTCTTACATGCTCATTGCAAGAAAGTGTATTCACAGACAGATGTTTATGCGGTAACGGTAAGAGTGGCATTGGTGGTTTTCTGTTCTGGTACCCGGCATCACTCGCATGGCAACAATGAAAATACTGTAGACGCACAGTATTACGTGCTGAGCTGCTTGTCGTCTCGCAATTTCTGCTTGTGAAGGCGTCGGTGTCGCTCGCTGGTGCTCAATTGCCCTGTCGCGCTTGTCTTCATCGATTTTACCGACTGTCCACAAATCTTCCAGCGGGTCTGCAAGTTTTGGGGGTGATTGCTTGACGATTGATGGTTGTGTGCACCAGCCATCCAGTTCCTACGCCAGAAAAGCGCGTCCCACCCACCCCAACAGTCAGTTTAGGAAAAGGTGAAGTGGTGTTTCAAAGCGGTAAAATACTAGTTCACATGGTTGGGTATGGTACTGAGTGCACCACCCCTGTCAAAACTCCTGACAAAACAGTGGCAGTGGAGGGAAGGGAGTTTATTCATGGTCAACTCTGTTTGAGACGGTGTTGGCGGGGTAGATTTAGCTCCGCCCTCTGCAGTGGTTTGGGTTGGAGAAAACAAAGCCGCACGCATTCCTCCAGTTGGAGAGCTGGAACAAAGTGCACTGTACTCTATGGGATGAAGTAGGGGTCCCCCAAACACTGCTGGTCTTCAGAGGAAAGAGGCCTCAAAAGAGCTGGTCTCATAACAACACAAGCAAAATTGCCTTGAAATTGCAACGAAGCTCATGGCGTGTGAGGGTCCAACCCCCCCCGGGCACACTTTCGTTTCAGTCCTTGACCTTTTTGGGTAAATTTGAAAGTAATAAACCTACACATCTGTCCAGCTTCGCCTGAAAGCATGCCTTGCTCCCGCTCACCCTCACCAAACCTGTTGTCGCATTCCCTCCTTGCTCCCCCCCCCACCCGCCTCCCTTTTTGCTTTCTGCTCATGAAGAAACGCCTAACGTTCACTCGAGCCAGGCCAGATAGCAGCTCACGCACACATCAGCCATAGCGTGAGTAGGCCCATTGGGTTATCCGCCTGCGCATCGGTTGCACCTGCGTTGCTTCATTGTTGCTCCAAGCAACAACACCGCGTCTTTTGTTGATAGATGAGGCAGGACCTCCCTGCCGCTTAGTCCCCCTACCGTTGTTGCCAGGTCAAGTTACTGCCAGCAAGCCTTTTTTTTTTTCTCCCAGATTTTTCCAGTCACCTTCCGATCTTGTCAGTAAACTCCACACAGCTCTCCAACTCCAGCCCGCACTATTCGCAGCATGGGAAGAACGGCCATCGATGGCTCATCATCAGCGTACCCCAGCAATGTAGTAGTGCCATCTCCTCCGTTCCTCGTATGCCCTAGACCACCACCGTCGCATCTCTCAGTCGCTCCTCCAATGGAAGCCAGCTCAGCAGCAGCACCGGCTGCAGCTGGAGCGAGCGGGCCTGCGGGACAATCAGGGCCCGCAGGCTCAGCGCACGCGGCGGCGTTGACGGCGAGCCGCGTGACGAAGTCCCGCGCTCGCAAGCTACGGATGATCGCGCATGCCGCAAAAACCTCGCAGAAACCGCCGAACGCACCGTCAGGCGGCGCGGAAGACGACGAGGACGTGGACAACCCGTTTGCGGACATGCTTAGACGCAGCACGAGTGCCCGAGGTAGCAGCAGCGGCGCGAGTGTACAGGACCGCGACGACTTACGCGGAAGTTCCAGCGCGCGGGAGTTAGGATCTGGTAGTAGCATCGGCGGAAGCTACGCACAGCTAGCGGAGGTCCACTCATCCTCAGTTCCGCCGGCTGTTCCGGCGAGACAAAATGCGGCTGACGCGGCAGCTGGTCAGGCGGTTTCAAACGGTGACGTTGTATCCGAGGAAAAGGAACCCCAGCAGCAGCAGCAGTTGCGTGATGTCGAACCTGTTAATAACGAGGTTGCGAAGCCGGGTCTGGCGTTGGATGTATCTTGTGAACGTGACGAAAACGCCCGTATTTACCAGGCGGTGGAAAGTGCGGACGCGAACCCCTCCTCCTCCGCATGGGCGTTTGCGACGGCGACGGCGGCGACGGCGGCGGCGGCGGGCACGGGCACTGGTGTGGAGTCACCGGCGCGGGAGCAATCTGACGCTGGCGATTCGTCTGCCGCATCGACGCCACGCAGGCACGGCCGGAGCAGCCGACGCCTCCTCCACGTCGGAGCGTCGCAGCGCCGCGCGCTGCTTCGCTGTCGCGCGGCGGAGAGGCGACTTCACGGCGACTTGGGCGACGGCGTCGCAGGAGGAGGGGTAGGAGGAGGCGGCGGCGACGTTTTGGAGCGAAGCCAGACGATGGACTACTCGCGGCTGCGTTCGCGCGGCGACATGCGCGACTCGCTGGATTCGTTCTCCGGCGAGGCGTACGCCGCAAGTGTCGGAATTCTGGAAGAGGACCGTTTCGACTCGTTCGAGGATCTCCGGTCGGAAGATGGCGGGGAAGGCGGCGGAAGAGGCGGAGGAGGCGGGGGAGGCGGGAGCGGTTCGGGAAGGTGGCTTCCGCCGTATTTCAGGACGGCGGAGAAGCAACTGCAACAGCAGCAGCAACATCAGCAGCAGCAGCAGCAGCAGCAGGGGGAGCAGGAGCAGGAGGAGGAGGAGGAGCAGGAGCAGCAGAAGCAGCAGCAGCGGGGGCGGAGGAGCTTTAGTTGGAAAGAGAAGACGGATGGTGGAGAGGATTTGACGGAATACCCCCGAAGCGGCAGCTACGGCGAGAGCGTGTGCGAGTCGGACGGGCAGAGCGTAGACGACGGCGACCTAAGTATAGACGGCGATAGCGAGTCGCTCGGCGGGGAAAGGAGAACCCGCGTCCGCTTTAGAAGGATCACCAACAGCAGGAGCGCGAAAGCGCTCGCCGGACGCGACGCGGATTACAAAGAATCTGACTGTAACGGCGACGTCGCCGGCGGTGGCGGCGGCGGCGGGGGCGGTGGTGGTCCGCGATCCGCGGCAGCAGCCACCAGCCCGTCGGACGCGCAGTCCGCGCATTTCACGGCGGCCCTGCCTCCGCTATGCGCGTCTCCGTTAAGGACGTACAGCTCGCGACGTCGCACTATGGAGCTCGCGCTCATCTCCCCCACCGCCGTCGCCAACAGGCGCAACAACTCTGGTTCTTCCCCTTCCGCTTCCCCCTACCATGCGCGTTCCGCGGGTATCTCGCCTTCCTCCGCGAACGCCTCCGCCGGTTTCCCCGGTGGTTCCGCTTCCGGGGTAAGCCCCCCCGCCGGTAGCGCTTCTGCTGCGCCCTCCGCTCCTGCCGCCGCCCCTGGGGAGCGTAGGGCGGCTCGGCAATGGACGGGGCCTCGAGCCGCGAGCCCTGACGTGCCGCCACCTGGCGGCGTGGTAGTGGTCCGCGAAAGGGCCTTCACTCGATCGCTCACGCTAGGATGCAACCCTAGCTCGAACCAGCAGAGCCAGCAGCAGCAGCAGCAGCAGCGGGATGTGCGGAGAAGCTATGGCGGCAGTTTCAAGGACCGCGTGGGGTCGCATGGGGACGAGGGGGAGATGATGGGAGGTGGGGGGTGGGGCATCGCTTCTCGCGAGCCCACGCCCGTGCATGTCAGCAGCAGCAGCAGCGGCCAGGGCGGGAGGAATCGGGGGAATGTGGAGAGTGGTGGCGGGGAGCCAGCGGGCAATGCGGGGGATCTGGCGGTGGTTGCGCCTCAGTGCGCCGTGTGTCGTGGTCGTCGGGGGAGTGGCGCTGCTGGCTCTGGTAGTGGCGGATTAGGCGGCCGCCGTGGGAGCTGCAGCGGGTGTGACTGTTGCAGTGGTGCTGTGAGCGGGGGCGGCGCCGGTGAGGGCTTGGAGGGGCCGGGCAGAGGGGGCAGAGGTGCATTCGGGGCAGGGGGAGGGGGGAGCAGGGGGAGCAGCGGCGGCGGAAGTCGGTGGGGCTCGCCCCAAGAGTGGGCAGCAGCAGCAGCGGCAGTAGCGGGAGTGGCAGGCGGAGCAGGCGGGGCAGGTGGGGCAATCGGGGCAGGAGGCGGGGCAGGCGGGACAGGCGTGGTAGGAGGAGGGACAGGAGGAGCCTTGGGAGGCGGAGCTCCCAAGGTGATGGTGTCGATTCTGCCGAGCTTCGCCCAGCACCGCGCCATGGTGGCCCAGGCGGAGCAGCAGGAGAAGGCGCTGCTGCTGGGGGAGCTCGCGGGCAGGCTGGGGCGCAGGCGCAGGGGAGGGGCGGTGGGAGGGGGTGCAAGGGTGCAAGCGGTTACTGATGCGGATGGGGATGGGGATGGGGATGGGGATGGGGATGGGGATGGGGATGGGGAGGGGGGTGGGATGGAGCCTCCGGGGAAGACGGGTAGCGAGGGGAGTGTTGTGGAAGAGAGGGGAGAGGAGGGGGCTGGTAGGGAGGAAGGAGAGGAGGGTGATGGAGGGGAGGTGTGCAGGGAGCAAGGAGGGCGAGCAGGGGAGGTGGGAGAGGTGGAACAGGAAGGGCAAGTTGGGTATGTGGGGCAGGGGGCGGGTGAAGGTGAAGGGGCGGGTGAAGGTGAAGGGGCGGGTGAAGGTGAAGGGGCGGGTGAAGGGCTAGCTGATGCGCAGTCAGCAGATGGGCGCTCCCAGAGTGTTGCTTCCTCTTCCTTTTCTGAGTCTCCTCTCTCTGATGGGCGAGCTACTAATGGTGGCCATGCTAGTGGTGATGGTGGGGAGGACTCTGCGATTACTGGTTGTCGTGATCGGGAGGACTCTGCTAGCAGTGCAGGTGGGGTTGAGGCTCAGGAGGAGGAGGAGGAGCAGCAGCAGCAGCAGCAGCAGCAACAGCAGCAGCAGCAGCAGCAGCCGATTGGTGTCTTTTCCGAGACGGCGGACAAACCTCAGCAGCAGCGCTGGGACGAGCCTGTGCTGATTGCTCCCATGTTCTCGGTTCGTGCTGAGACCTAGGTCCCGCAGGTGCCAAGCTTTGTGAACAAATACATACATGTGCAACCAAGTGTGCCTTTCAGTCGTAGTTTCCAACTTTCTACAGGTAAGGAGTTCGTTGGCTGCTTCTCCACAGAGGCTTTGATTCTGTTTATTTTCTTGGACGGCTTTGTGACTTGTTGCTAGCCCTCGAGTGTAGATGCTGAACATTGATTATTTTAGGCTTGTGATTGTGAGGTGTATAGGTTGTGTGTGATTTGTAGTGTGCACTCGGTAGTATTCTACACGTAACTCCTTTTTTACCGTCGCATCCTGCTTTGGTACCAATTGTGAAAGTGTACTTATGCTGCATTATGGTGTGCTTGTTGTTGATGAGTCAGGTCAGGCTGTCTGATGTCCATTTCACTGGTTTCCAGTGTGGTGTAGATGATGCATGAGATGGGTGTTATATGGTGAAGTAGTATTTCATAAGATACAGAACTAAGAATTTCTACGTGTTGCTCAGGTCTGACTATTCAAATAAAACCACTCTGATTGTATTGGGCCCCCAAAATTTTTTAGTCTGAGGCCCATTTTCCAGAGAATGAATACTCTGATTTCTCAGGAACCATAGAAGCATAACTCTGAAATCTGTAGAATTTTGAGACTACCACAACTCTAAGCATATTTTACTACTAGCGGGACTTCTGCACAGGTCTCAAGGGGTGTATTTTCTTCGAAGTAACATGAATGGCGCAGAGGAGTTCATACTCTGTAATATGAGAACTCACTATCCGGCAAGCAACTACTCTGAATTTTTCAGTATTGAAAGAAACACTAGTTTGAAGCACTCAGTTTCCAAAATTAGCCAATTGTGAAAGTGTACTTAGGCTGACTGGCAAAGGCAGCGTTATCATTTCATATGGATTGTAGTACTGTCAGAACGAGGAATGGATGATGCATTGATGTTGGTTGGGGTACATATAGCTAACCCTAAGTTTTGTACCCCCTAAGACAAACCTCACTATAGGCTACAACATTTGACACACCCCCATAGCCTAAGTGAGGGGTGTCTAGCAGAACCAAACGAGTACGGTCACAAGACCAGTCCAAGAAACGAAGCTCAGGGTGGATCACAACGTCACCACACAGTCTGAGCACAAACAACAGTGGCCACAAGGCCAGTCCAAGAAGTAACAGAGGTATATAGAAAGCAAAGTAAACAGTACACTCAAGTCTAAGCAACACGAGAACCAGTGTCAACAAGGCCTAACTGCACACAGCACCTCTGGTGGTCACAAGGCGGAAGCGCCTTGGTGAAGATGTCTGCAGTGTTGGCCTCGGACTCCACAAACTCAAAGCGAGCCTGTCCACGCCTCTGCAACTCTCGCAGAAGAAAGTACCTGACGTGAATGTGCTTCACTCTGCTCTCCAGTCGTGGCTCTCGACAAAGGAGAATAGATGCCTTGTTGTCAGTGAACAAGGTCGGTGCAGAGCTCGGCCGCTCACCAAGGTCGGTGAGCAAGAAGGTCAACCAACGCAGCTCCTGTGCCGCCATGGCACCAGCGTAGATCTCAGCCTCAGCTGTAGAGGTCGAGACCGAAGAGGAGCGCGTGGACCGCCAGGAAACAGCTCCAGAACCCAGGCTGAAACAGTACCCCTGAGTAGACCTGTGAGTCTCAGCGTCGTCAGCGTAAGAGGAGTCACAGTGACCAGTAAGTACGACAGACTGCTGCCCTCCAAGAACTAGCCCCACGCCTGACGTCGTCGCTAGGTACTTCGCCACCCTCACAGCTGCTGTCCAGTGAACAGGACGGTGTCTCCCTGGCGCAACAAAGCGCGCAAGAACGCTGAGAGGGAAGGCGAGGTCCGGGCGAGTACAAGTCATCAGGTACATGAGGCAACCCACAAGCTCAGCGTAGGGACCACTAGGCTCGAACGGCTCGTCAGGAAAGGGTCCAGTGAGTCTGTGGTCAACAGCAAGAGGTGTGCGCTGTACTGTGGAGTGCTGAAGCCCGAACCGCTGAAGGACCTGCTGCACCATGTGCGACTGTGAAAGTGTAATGGTGCGAGCAGCTCTGTCCCTGGTGATCTGCAGGCCAAGGTAGTGGCGCAGCTCACCAAGATCAGTGCACGTGTGTCTCTTCTGCAGTTCGGACTTCACGTGTGCCAAAGCAACCCTGTCAGGGGTGGCGAAAACAAGGTCGTCAACGTAGACCAGAACAAAGAAAGGTGTGGTGCCACGACGAACGAACAGCGACGGGTCAGCAGAAGACGGCTGGAACCCAAGGTCAGACAGGGTAGAACGCAGGGTGTCGTGCCACTCACGAGGAGCCTGACGAAGACCGTAAACCGGTCGCCTCAGCCTCCACTGGGTCCCAGGAGGGAAAGAGCCAGTGAAGGCAGAGGGACGACGCAACCAGACCTCCTCGTGAAGACTGCCCTGAAGGAAAGCAGTAGAGAAGTCGAGAGAGTGTAACTCGTAGTCTCTCTGTGCTGCTACGTGTAGTAACACCCGAAGAGTGGTCATCTTCGGGGTGGGCGCGAAGGTCTGAAAGAAGTCAACTCCCTCGCGCTGACTGAAACCTCTAGCCACGTAGCGTGCCTTGAAGACCGGAGGAGATCCCGGTGGCCGCTTCACCCTGTAGATCCACATGCCGTCGACTACGTTCGCCCCCGGAGGGGGAACCTCATCGACGTAGGTGCCTGTGGATCTGTAGGAGGCCATCTCTGCGTCCATGGCAGCTCTCCACTGAGAGGCCCAAGGCCCTGACACTGCCTCAGCGTAAGTGCGAGGAGTCGGAATGTCAAGGGCGTCGGGGTCACCCTCAGGGGCGAGGAGCATGGCACAGAGATGAGGGGAAGCGGCCGCCAGGAACTCTAGCTCAAACTGCCTGTCCTCTAGGGCGTCACAGCCAAGGGCAGACACACCCCCGACGGCCAGAGGACTGGAAGGAGGAGCAGCCACAAGAGCGGTGGCGAAGTCAAGGCGGCGGGTAGAGGCAAAGTCAGTGACTGCGGCAGTAAGAGCGGACACAGAGGACACAGAGGCACGAGGGTGAGTAACAAGCGAGGCGAGAACACGAGAGAGAAGAGGACGGTACGTGCGGTAGTAGTCAGTGACAAGAGTAGGGAGCGACGCAGTGAGAGCCGACTCAGGAGGAGACGGAAGCACAGACGGAGACGGACGAGGTGGACTAGAACGAAGTAAGGCAGTACGAAGGTCAGTGAAGGGAACAGGAGACGAGGGACGAGCACGAGGGGAGCGACGAGAGGCCCAAGTCTGAGAAGGAGGAGGGGACAACGAAGACTGAGAACGAGGGAAAACAGCGGGAGAGGGGTCAGGAGGAGGAAGCGGAGGACCAGAGACGGGAGGAGAGGGGGAGGAGGAAGGAGAGGGAGAGGGGAGACCAAGGGTCCGAAGACCCGAGACAGGAGGAGGAGACGGCAGCTGCTGCTGCTGCGGCTGCTGCGGCTGCTGCTGCTCCTGCTGCTGTCGCTCCTGCTCCTCGAGCCGCTGCAACTCTCTCTCCTCTCTCTCCAACTCCAGCTGCTCCTCACGAGCACGGCGAACACGAGCCTGGAACCTGGTCGGGTAGGGGTGGGGGGAAGGAGTAGTGTCCGGGGCAGCGGCAGCCCCAGAGTCGACCTCCGAAGCACCAAGCACACCACCCCCAGAGGCAGCACCAACACCAGCTCCAGACCCAGGCTCTCCAGAAACCGAAGGAACACCCTCACCCCCAGACGCAGCACCCCCAGACTCCGCACCAGCACCCCCAGACTCCGCACGACCAGTACCAGCCCCCGGAAGACAAGAGTCCTCTGCAACCCGCGGCTCAGCTCCAACTCCAGCACCCCCAGAACCAGAGACCTGTACAGGGACAGTCGCAGGACCAACCTCCCGAGAGGGAGCACCTGCAGGAGGCGGCGAGGAAGACTGTGGGGAGGGAGGCTGTACAGGGGGGGCTACCGAAGGGGGAGGGCTAGCCTGAGACACACCAGACGGGGCTGGACCAGGGGGGGGAGGCTGTACCGGGGGAGCAGGCGGGGGAGCGGCTGTCAGGAAGAGGGGGGGAGGAGGAACCGGGAGACCTCGACTGGGGTACCTGACGTAGTACGGGGTGGACTCCTCGAAACGGACGTCACGGGAGTCAAAGAACCGGTGAGAGGGAGGGTGGTAAAAGGTGAAGTCAGAGGAGTCCTCAGGGAAACCAAGGAAGACACAAGGAACGGCGCGAGGCGAGAGCTTGTCCGCGGAGGTGTCGCGGACAAGAGCCAAGCACCCCCAGACACGAAACCTCGACGCGACACCAGGGGACCCTGTCCAAAGACTGGTCGGTGAAGCCTCCGGCCGAGAGACGCGTGGCCAGAGGTTCAGCTGGTGCGCGGCGTACCTGACTGCGTATGGCCACAGGAAATGGGGGGCACGGGCGTGAGTCAAGGAGGTGCGGGCAATCTCCATGACCAGGCCTATGCGACGCTCAGCAACCCCATTCTGCTGTGGGGACTCCGGAAGCGTCCAGGACTGACGAATGCCCTGTTCGCGACAGAATCCAGCGAGAATGCCGGAGCGAAACTCGCCCCCGCGGTCGGAGTGGAGACAGCTGACACGACGACCACGAGTGTCCTGGGTGGTAAGCAACCACCTGATCAGCGTAGAAGTCACCTCAGACTTCCTCGCCAGGGGGAACACTGTGGTGTAGCGGGAGTAGTCGTCAACGACCACCAAAAAGAAACGCTCACGCTCAGGGCCAGGGCGAGGAGAGGGGCCCCAGACGTCCAAGTGCAGCGTCTCAAAAGGCTCGGTGGCCGGACGAAGGGAGGAGGAGTGAGGGGTGGCACGCAGCCTACCCTCGACGCAAGGACCGCACGGTGGTGCAAGGGACGGCGGCAGCGACGGCAAGACACGCGGGAGACCTAAGACCAGACGCTGACTAGACATAGCACGCAGACGTGGAAGAGAAGGGTGTCCCATCCGGTGGTGCCACAGAACGGTGGGGTGGGCAAGTGACCGACAGGAGCAAGACGCAGCGACTGGACTG